AAGAAAAAGAAAAAGAAGAAAAATAAAAAAAAAAAAAAAAAAAAGAAAAATAATTACCTGTATGTTATAATAGTTCCCAGAAGGGCGACTGTTTACTTCTTTGAGCTCTTCTTTCAGTGAGAAGGATAAGCTCTTAAACATCACGGATTTATAAAGGATGTTTAGTACTTAAGCTTAATACAGACAGGAATAATATAATTTTTAGCTAAAGGAATTTAATTTGGATTTACAGAATTTGTAAAAGAATGTTAACCCATACTGTGTGTTTTCTAAGAGGCTAGTGGGAAAATGTCTTACATTTGGGTTTGGTTCTTAATGCTGAATGTGTCTCCTAGCTAAATTATCACTAAGATTATTTTAAGTAGCATCCAACTGTTGAACTGGGACTAAGATTTGTCATAGTAGATTTCTGTGACAGTCTGCCTCATATGTGATTGTTTAACAATAGGTGCTTGTTAATGAAGACACCTGATGGGGCGGTAGGAGATGGCAGAGACTTTCATTTGGTTTCCAGTAGATGATTGACTTCTGCTTAAAACATTTTCCACAAAAGAGTAAGGCTGTTTTACCCTGTTGACAAAATGCAGAAATTCTGTCTGCAAGTAATCCAGAGAGTGGTGACAGTAACATCAGATTTTTTTTTTCCTGAGGAAAATGGGCTAGCAGCCTGAGCTTGTTAGTGAATGCATGGAAAGAGTATAGCTCCCAGAAATTGCCTATACATGGAGTAAGGGACACCAAAGTGCATCTCACAGCTGTAGGGAACTTCAGGAATTGTTGAGCTATACTGTATTTTCCTTCTAGCCTAGTGAGTGTAGGCACCTTTTTTTTTTAATCATTAATTTCACAGTGATGGTTGCATAATGTAAAATACTAATTTTATAGAAGGAGGTGGCTGTAGGTTCTTTCACAGCTCAAGAACTGAAAGAAGGCTGGAGCCAGAAATGCAGAGTACTTCTTCAAAGCTGGAAGAAATTAAAAATTGAGACCCAAACTTTGAGGCAGGCCTGAGTTACATGTCCAGCTGAAAGGAAGAAAACGCTGTTTTTAGGCCAACTGCTCTTGAGAGAGAAAGAAAAGGTGTAAAATTTGCAAACTTCTAGCGAGTCCTCACTGCTAACAATGACCAGTGAGGAACAATGGGAGGAATACAGCAAAGAATCTGAGCAGTATGAACTGCAGACCCATAGGTGCTGAAGTGAGTCCATGCAGTATTGACAGCCTGGTGGTCTCCCATCCTCTTCTGTCAAGTTCTGTGTACTGTAACTTTAGACCTCTCTCCTGGAGCTATTAGTCCAACATGTTGCCATATATTTTTAACTGGCTGTTAACTGAAGTTACACCAAAGTGCAACACATATGCATGAACTAGAAGCAACTGTATTTGCTCAGAAGCTGTAGGACTGGGTCAGTAGGGTGGTGTGATTGATTTTTTTGATTGTATTATTATCCGTATAGTAATGATTTCATTTTGAAGAAGTTATGGAACAAAAAATGCTAAAAGCTTTATACTACTACATTTTAATGGACATATTTTAGAACCTTACAGTATCAATGTTCTGTCATCATTTTGGATTATTTTTTGAGGTGACAACAAGATGGGAGCACAGTACCTCATCTGATGTGAGAGCTTCTTGGACATTTACTTCCCCCTTTTCCCCTTGCCCAACATGAAAAAAAAGTCATGCTTTGTTTGACATAACCATAATACCTAATTCTATTTAGCAGAAACAATAGAAACTGAAAAATGTTCTTCGACAGAGAAAGGAAGGCTTTGGTGACATTAGGGGTACAAATTTGTAGCAAGGATATTGAATTATAAACAGCTCATTTTCTGAAAAAGACCATATTTGAGGGAATATGGTACACTGATGGTGTTTCAGTTTAGCTAATTTTTGAAGCTTGAATTATATAAGGAATTGTGAAGTCAGTGATGAATTTGGTGTAAAGAACAAGGATTATGGGGGGAAAAAAGCATTTATAGTATAAATATAGTGGAGCTAAGCACTGTTCTAAAGATAGTTTTGTCTTTGCAGACACTAGAATGCTTCAACTCAAGCAAACCCTGAACCTTAATTCACATGACACCTGTCTGCATGCTAGCTGATTTTCTTCTATAACAATGATCATTTTGTACTTACAGGGCATATTAAGCCAACTCTTAAAACCTAGTGGTCATTGGTAGTCATTAAAACTAGGAAGAAAAATACACTTCATATTCTTAGCTCTCCTATCCTTTTGAAACTACTCATTCTGGAGACTGAGTTAATCTAATTTGCACTTTCCTCCTCCATCTCTTTATTCTGAGATCACTGGCAATATGTAAGTATCAGCCTACGCTGCCTACAGTGGATGCTCAAGAAACTAAAATTCAGCTTTGTGTTCCTGGACACCCTCTGTAGACTTACATGCCAGCATAAAGAAAATGAATGACTAGGTTTGTTATGTATTTACAAAATATTATGGAATTCTGGCATTTCTAGGTTCTTTTTTAACTAGGTGTATAACGAAAGAATAGTTGTCCACAAATACAAAGCTAGAGACAAGGTGATCAGAGACTTGACACAATTCCAGGGGATACTCTGAAGAGAAGGGTAATGGTTAATTTTTCAGCAGTTTGAATTCTAGGACCAGTGTCTATGTGATCACTGAGTTACTGCTGTTCCTGCAGTAGAACTGATCCTGCTACCTTACATCTACCTGGCACAATTTGGAAAGTCAGTACTCTGATCTTGCCTGTTTCTTTATTAGGTCTAGTATGCTGGTTGTGGAATTGCAGTTCTAATTGAGATGAAGGCTTATATTCATCTACCTATATGTGTGTTCACACACGTGATATACCCAGAGTTGGAGATGCTATGTAAATGTCATTTCCATGTGTCACACCTCAGTTTTCTGTTTTTGCTGGAGTATGCTTGGGTCATATCCTTTTTTTTTTTTTTTAAGATTGGCAATGTAAAAGTGTACAGAATGTCTGCTGTCAGCTGGAATATATTCTCAGCTGCAAACAACTTGTGAGCAAAACCTGTTTTGATTAGATGATAAACCTACCTGAGGTGTGCATGCTAAGCTTATTTTATCTTCATGTGTGAAAACTGATGATGGACTGAAAGCTAAATGGGTAGTACTATAACAGTTTCACCTAGAAGCCAATTATTTTAGTTTCGAGAAGTGGTGAAATCTTAAAGGCAAAAACCGTGAGGAAGAGGCATTGAGAGAGCTGTAGTGTTCAGCAAGAGAAGGTTGGATGGATCTGATGCTGTAGCCAATGCTTGAGAGAGATTCTGATAGTCAAAGTTGGTGCAGAGTGCTAAAGCAAGTGGCAGGGAAAGCTGCTAGTTAGGGAAATCTGTCTAACATTTCTATATCTCACTGGAATGCGGTGATGGTGGTTCTCATAACATTGCAAGAGGAAGAGTGAGGAATAAGACAGTTCAGGTTTTGCTGTGTTTGGCCCAAGTTCTAAGGAGATACCAGAGCACAATCAAAACTTGTGAATCAAACACAAGATGTGGTCAAATGAGACTCTAAAGAGAGATTCAGGAAAGGGAAACAGCAAGAAAAGAGCTAGTTTTATTGGGGGGGAAGGGAGAAGACAGGGTAAGAGTAAGGACTGAGGAGTCACCTGTACAAAATGGACTGGTAATAGGAGAGCTGAGAGGGGTTTGGAATAGGTCTACAGCAGAGACTTCAGCTACTGTGTCAGTTCTGAACTGATGTTTGATGGTAAACATGTGGAATGGAGCCTCTTGGACACATCAGGAATGGAGGTAATGATGGGGGCTTAGCACTCTGGAGGGAGTCAGTGGGGCAGTCAGTGGATGGATGAAACTGAAGCTGACTATAAACACACTTTCAGCATATGGAACAGGTGCAGTGACAGTGAAAGCCAGCACTTCTGCACCAGCCCCCCATTCTCTGAGATGAGGAGTAAGGGTAGGAGAAAAAAGGGCGGACTCCGATGTGAATGGACAGAAGTAGAAAGCAAAAGAGTATCTCAGTAGTCTTGCCAATGGCAGCAGTGGCTTCCCTAACTGATGTAGGAAAGACAGGAAGTCAGCTGAAACTGGTGTGAGTTAAACCGAAAATTTTGTTTCTGCAGGGGTACAGCACCCATCTTGTATTTTAGTGGTGCATGGAGTAATTCAATCTGCTTTAAACTGTGTTCAGTTAAGCTGCTGAATGCAAGACTGTATTTTAAAAGCCTTGCTAATAAAAAGTTTATTTAGTTTATGTATTGTGTGCATCTCCTTCCTGTGAGCAGTGTGAACAAATATAATACATGCTATATAAAAAAGCAATCCCAACAAACCCTCAAACTGTTATACAGAAACATGCAAGAAACAAGATCTGAAGATAAGTTTCTGCTTAGATGTATCTTTAGGTGAAGAGCATCATTTTGTCAAAAAGATTGTGGTTTGATGTAGATGAGAGAAGCCTTAGATGTCACGTCTGAGTTACTGAACTTGTTTCAACCTTCTGAAGAAAATCAACACCACACATGTTCTGTCAGAAAACCAGTGAACTGAATGTTGAAACCACAGGACATGAGCCCCACAGAATGAAAATGGAGCATGCAGTAGAAGTTCTGAACTGCAGATTGCAAAGTAAATTGCCCTTGTTTGTATTCACAGCTTTTGCTTTACCTGTAAAACTGTCTTTACCTTAACCCAGGAGTTTTCTCACTTTTACCCTTTTGCTGCTTCTCCCCCATGCTGCTGGGGCAGGAGCGGGGCAAGCAAGCAGCTGCATGGGGCTTAGCTGCCTACTGGGGTTAGCCCATAACAGTGTGTTTTATAAAATAAAGGAAACACCACCTCAAGTTAATGTAATAGTTCCAGGAGTAAGGCAAACACTGATTTGATTTATTGCATGTTCAGGCTCCCAAGACTTGGATCATGTATTATGTTCTTTATCATCTGCCTCAAACTTCTGTAACAGAAGGCCCAAACCAGTAAGCCAACAAGCATATTTCTTCTACTGTCTGGAGCTGAAAATCATGACAAAATTATGCTAAAATGAAAAGAAGGCTTCAGTATTATGAACAGGATTTGTTACGTCAATTTGGAATCACAATTCAAATCATAGCTAAGAGGTAGAGGTTTAGCTGTCTAAGCTTTTTAAATGCAAGCATAAATTCATGTTGAAATAACAAAAAGATTGGCTTCACTAGTCTACAGGCTTCTCATCAGACAGCAGATGCAACTGAGTCAGAAGCCAAACTATTGCATGTTACACACTCAAGTTTGACCTGAAACAGGAACGCACACTGGGTTTATCTTCAGCCAAGTGCTGATCCTTTTTTTCTTGGCACTACTGTGAAAAACCCCACACTGCCCTCCCCTCTTGAGAACACACATTTGCCTGTTGAAAAGTGCAGAGAAATCTGAAGATGATGTTGAAAATTGATACAGAGAAGACATCTTAAGATCTATAAAGAAAGCTCCAAGCGTTCTGGGGTGTTCCCCAGTCACATGGTGGGCAAGTCCAGCAGTCCTAGGACACTAAATGACTGGAAGTGTATCAAAGCTGCTAAATTCAAATGTCTGTGGAACCGGATTTGAAGAGCCTTAAGTTATAACATGAATAGAATAGTAGTCTCAGCTGTGCCACCAATGTTGCTTGAACCTAGCAGACTGAAGTTTGAACAGCAAAGGACATAACATTTACTTTCTCACAGAAGTCCCCTGTACATTGTGTCTTGTTAGAACATCTAAGAGGAAAGGACAAGCTCTGTTTTTACAACCATAAACAATTTCTGAAGGATCTTCTCCATGGATATTCTGCTGTCTAAGCTATTTTCTTGAATTTAGTAACAAAAAGGTCATCAGCAGCAGTCTACAAGACCTGCCCCATTGGACCAGTGGGTCTTTTAACAGGAAAACTTGAAGATTCTCATTGTGACAGCAAAAAAACTCACCTGAGGGTGCAACAAACAGCAGTCAGTACATCTCCTCCAGCAAGTATTTCAACTGCTTAAGAAGCATTTTTAAAGGTATTTGGTGGACAAGATTTGATGTGCCCTGATGCCAGTTACAATACCAAAACATTCACATCTTTGCTGAACTCAGAGGTTCTGGTTTTGCACTCTGTGCATCACTCTGGACATCCCTGACCAAGTGACCAAGAAGACCGAGATGATGTCAAGACAGACCTGAGGAAAAACTGGTTTTTGAAGACTAAATATTTTGAGACTCTGCAACCACCTGGACTTCAGCATATCTGTTATCTTGATACATACAGATCTGACTATGCTGTTCTGCAAATGTGGTATGTGACAGAGTGGCTTGAAACATGCTCAGCTCATCTTGCTTGCACATTATGTAGTTTAAGTTGAGTACTTAAAAGTCAATTACATCAACCAGATTACTTCTTCATGTGAGGAAGGAGATTCTACCATTCTGCCTCTTGAAACAGGATGCAGTGGAGCTACTGTCCATCTTCATCATGTCTTGGCTTCATACAGGTGAGCAGAAAGTCTGGAAGGCTTTTCTCATTAGATTTCCAGGGGAATCCCTCAAATTCCAAATTTTTGGATCATTAAGAAGAGCTCTCCTAACAAAAGAATGGGTAACTGTTTCATAGCTTTCACTGCTGATATAGTTGGAATTATTTTGAAGGGCAGATTTTTACACAGTGATTGCAACAAGTAAAAACATGAGAGGAAGAACTGGGTCAAATTATCTAAAATCCCAAACTGGAGTGCAATAGTTCTTTTAAGAATTTCTCTGTCTTGGAAGTAGCTTTTAACAAATGGACATTCAAATTGAGTTAACGCTGCAAATGAAAATATGTTTAAGAGAGAAAAAAAGCTTTTTTTTTCAGCTCCAAAATATTCTGGAACAGTAGTATTTGTTCTACATAATGGACCAGAGATAAGACTATCATGATCAGGTATCAGCTGCATTTAAGTCCTCCTCAACAGATTCCCAATTCTTAAGACAATACCCATGAAATGTGCTGAAGCAGCTCCCTTAACAGAGAAGCTCATTGAATTCTCTTGGCCTGAATCTTCCAACTGGATAAAAGATGTTATTTCCAATAGCAAGGGGATTCATTTGGCTTCTTTGCCACTAGATCTAGAGCTTTAAAATTTTTACTTGTTCATTTTCCAGGGAAATTCCCTCCACCTCCCAACCAGTTTGTTTTGGCTGTAGGGTTTTATGATTTATTCTTATTTTGGGGATGGGGTTGACCCATATTTGACTCCCAGAAATCATCAGATTTGGTCTTGTCCCCCTCTAACTTGAGTCTCATTACAAATAAAACCAATTACACAACATTGTTATATCAGAATTTACACTCTGAGGAATGTACAAGGTTATTTCTCACTACACGAAAGTACAGACTCTCATCTGATAGTTCTCATATGAAGCTTTTGGGCTTTTCATATACATCTTTTGTTCTTAAACAGCCAAATGCATCTCTCCTGTTTGCAAAGGAAAGGAAATATTCAGAGAAAGAAACTGCACTCGCCTCTTTCTCCCTTCCACAGAAACCAAAATTAAAATGCTTGTTGCTGCTGCAAAATTTTTTTGTTTGTAAGAGTGTTTCTAGTCTAACTGTAGGCTGTTCAAACAAATATTGGAGATTTGAAGATATAATAGGGCAAAAATCACTGAATTTTAGAATTTAAACATTTGATTCAAATCTGCCATCACACAAAATTAGTGACTGATTAAAAATAATGTCATCAACTTCAAAAATAGGAAGGAACTTGACCTTATCAATATTAAATACTTCTTGTTTACTCAGATACAAATTTAAAGTTTGGTCTCACTTATTTATGAAGTCTTCAAAAACCTTCGCCTAGAGACAAAATTGTCAATATACAAAAATCTAATTAACAAAGCCTTTCTGAAAAGAAAAAAGCCTGCTGCTAACTTCCTTTCTTTCCCAAAAATAATACTGATGAGCAAGTATTAGAAATAAACAGCCTAAAATTAAATCCTAAGTATCTACAGTATTTTAATGAGCATTAATCTGAAGCAAATAATGTTAAGGTCTCGAAAATGTGCAATCTGCAAGTATCAAGCAGTGACAGAAACTTTTCTTTTTCTTTAATAAAGACAAGACTTAAAAACAAGTCTTACAATAATTGACAGCTCAAATGGTCATATGCAGATATATATTACACACTGTAACCAGGAATCCTAAGGAACAGAAAGCAGATTTTTGTTAGAGAATCACTGTAAATCCAGGTTACAATTTATCTTCTCCTTTTCACATTAGGATCATATCTGCAACAAAAAAGAAAATTTGTTACAAGTAAAACTTAATGATATTCAAAGTTAGCAATGTGATGTAAATATCTATATTACATATTCATAACAAGGGACTGTTCAGTGTTCAGTCTTTTCCCTGACTGCACTTCTATAATTAACTACAGTTGCTACAGTTTGACTGAAGGATGCATAAGCCCGAACCTGCTTATGAACTAGAGATCACCTATACTAAAATTTTCACTGACCTCTCAGCTACTTAAAGTCTTTAAATTTGATGCATGAACAAATTTCTCCAAGCCTTTAATGTCCCAACATTAAGTTCCTTACTAAAAATAAAAAACAAACAAAACGAAAAAAAAGGGGAGGGAGGAGGAAGGGGTACTGTATATTCACAGCAATGTACAGATTCGGCCATGACTCATTCACACAAAACCCTCCTGCTGCTTTCTTCTCCCACATAAAGTAGTTCCTTGCCTTACCTTCCCTTTTACACAGCTTCTGACTGACTTTTAGTAATTTAAATCTATTTTTTGAATATACTAATTTACTACATAAACTGATCAGGTACTAAATACCTCATTTACTGCAATGTGCTCTGCTTGACACTGTGATCCCTTGGCCTTCTCTTTCTCTCCATTTGTGCTTCATCTCCCAAAATCCTGTGTCACTTCTTTGAAATTCCGATGTGTTTTGTATTCATGCATGAATAACTTACGGAAACAACTGAATGATCACGCAGTTTTACTTCCACTAATTCTGCTCTCATTCATCAAGACTTTTTTTGCTTAGACAGGAAAATGTGACAACTTGTGAGCCAAATTACATCACCACATAACTAGAAAGGTATTAGAAGTCACTGCTGCTGCTATACAACTCAGATTTCTGGCAAAAATGAAACGTGTACCCTTTGAAAGGAATGCTCTACTATTAACTGTTAATCAACAGAGCAAACTGTTAATGCAGCAAAATTTTCTGAATGGCTCCTACACATGTTCATATTGGTATGCAGTATCATGCTTCTTTGATAGCGATTTGGGCAAAAACATCCTTCTTCACCATACACATTTTTCTACCTAAATACACATTTATTTAGTCAAATGCATGGCAGGTGAGAAGTCAAACTGTGGTTGCTTGTTTCTTCAAATAAAAACTAAGAAAATAATTAAATCTTTGCTAAACAAAATGGGACCCTTGTATTAAATCTCAAGGCGTTTCTTTTAATTTATTGCTATACTGTTGTAACACTTTAGTTCTGACATTTAAGTATGTCCTGGACACCAAATTGCGTTTTGGGGAGTGTGGGGAGGGTGTGTGGTATGATAACATAAGCACATAGGAGAAGGGGATGATACATGATGGAAAACTGCTATCAGAACACCAACACCTTCAACCCTGTCTGTGACTGTATATGGAGATGCTGACACTGACAGTCACGAACATCTTTTTCTGTAATCTCCTCCACCTCACCTCCAGCCATTTTCCATGTTAAATGAAGCAGGAATGATGTTTTCCAGACAGAAGGAAATCAAACATTATCAGAGGAAGGAAATTGTACAGTGCTTGTGGCCTGAAATGGAAGGAGGACTGCAGAGATTCCACTAGTGTGAGTGAATGCACAAATAAACAAAAGACCTTGCTGGGAACAAGGAGTGAAGGATACAAAGGGCTATTACTGAACGTAATCCATTTATCTGTAGTCTTAACAAATAGTATGATATGCCTTCCCTTCCTCCTCTACCTCAGTATGTACTCAGCAGCAGTTGAGGGCACAGCTTTTCTTTCTAGCCCAACTTTACCTTGGAGTACTTCATGACTCTTTCTAATGGCATCTTCAAATGTAATTTTCATGGGAAATTGCAGCTGTTAACATTATGCCAAGTAGTTTTACTCAGGATAAGGACAAAATTAGATGTTACAAACTGCTGAACACTAAATTGTGCGTGTTAATATTTTTGACTGTGGAAACTTCTAAGTACAACTACCCTAAATAAATTGGAGTTGAGGTAAAAACTTTTCTAAGCACAAATGCATGCAAATTATCCAAGTTTCTACTGCTGTGTCTTGAAAGGCTAAAATTAATCAAAGATCTTTTGAACCAGTTAATATTCCAGCACAGCCATCAAGCTGCACCATGTTTTTCTAAATGTCTTTGTAACTGACATATTTAAAGGCTGCATTGCAGATATAAAAACTAGATGAAGTGGCAAACTTGGCTTAGAACTTTTTTTATTTAGAAAGTGGTTATAAATCATTAAATTAGGATCACAGATGAAAGTAACTGGACAGGAAATCCACTGAATAGGATAATTCTCTCTTTCAAAAGAGAGATTAGAGAAAGCAGGAGACAATTGAAGTGAGGGGTTATTGAAAGAAAACTGCTGAAACATGCTGTTTTAGAAGCAAATGTAATGACTTATGGCAAAAAGACAAGGTGAACCTGGACCTACCATACAAATCTCCCAAACTCCTGTGACATAAGCACTGATTAAGACAGTATTAATAACTCTAGTACACTGTCAAGAGCGTAGAATGATGGGTTAAAAATGTCTCTTCTCCTCAGTCTGAAAACTATAAAGATGGTAAGGCATTGAGGGAGTTTAACAAATGAAAAAAAGGTAGGGGCTATTCATTGTGAATGGGTTTGAAAGCTGAAGTCTCAAAGATAAGGGACACAGAGGGGAGATACTGAAGGATTTACTTAGGAGGTTTTTAAAAAAATTTTTGTTTTAAATTCTGAGAATCCTGACTTCAAAGATTTAAAAAAAAAAAAAAAAAAGAAAAAGAAAAAGAAAGCAGTCCTGCCAATTATTTTTTCACAGAAATACAATTCTGCTGCTTTAGCTCCCTCAAGTGAGTCAGCACAGGGACAGACAAGTGCCACGGCCAGAATGAAAAAGTGGCAGAGTCCATCACTTCTTTGCAGTTCAGATGACTTGATTATAAGATCAAAACACTTAATAGGCTCTAGCAAACACTAATAGTGGAAAGCCTGACTCCAGAATCAATTTTGAGCCTTTATGAACAAACAAGCTTGTGCATATGAGCGAGGAAATAGCAACTTTTTTTGTTTGAGCCTGTTCCTATTAAAAAAATTTCAGCAAGACTGAATGAAATTGCAAGTTTAAGGCATAAAAAAATTGATAGAAGTTGTTGAGTCATTTTGGGTATATTCTATACACAGGAATATATGGAATTTTGAAAATAGTAGTCAAAGTAGTCCTTTACAATCTGGAATTTGTCCACAAAAAGATATGAAGGAGAAATACACATTTTCCAAGTTCAAATATAAAACTCTTACCTAAAGAGATCATCAGCAAGTGATTCCTCTCTTGCATATCGGTTCTGTTCCTGAGGAAATAAGTTTATTCAATATTTGATGTTAAGGATAAAGCTAATGAACAACACAGAAAAACAATATATTCCTGCACTAACACAGTTTTTCCTGAAGAAGTAAGTTTTCTCTAGTACACCATTCAGTGCATATTCACATTAGATAATATATTTCATTACTCAAGCTTGGCTACTGCTACCAACTAATGGAATGGAGTAATTTGTGCAAGATACAAATTTTGGTCAGAAATGTGTTTTTTGGTTTTTAAGCATCATTATAGAAATAGGGAAATTTTCATCTGATTATTGGTGCATAAAGGGAATTTTAATTGGTATTATCTATACCCAGGGATTAAAAAAAAGGAGATAATCAACAAGTGTTGATGTAACAGGATCTTGATCAGGCTGTGGAAACAGTATGACTCATCAGCAAGTATTTTTACAGAAACTTGGAATATAAAAGTGCTAGAGAACTGCTATAATAAAATACTATTTTTTTTTTAGAACTTTTACATACAAAGGTGAAGATTTTTACAATATAAAAAATATTAAATTTATTCTTACTATATCTTTTCAATATACTCCAAGAGAATTTTACTCAGGTATTTTCTATTCTGTTTAAGAACAGAGTATCAATTGTACTGTATAACACATTGAACACAGCTAACCATATGGAAGGAAGTTCTTCCTAGGTCCCTATCACATTTTTATAAGTTGCAAATTTCCATGATGTATATTTTATTTAAAAAAAAACCCAAAAACTACTCTCTTTTAGAATACTGATTTTGCTTTGAATCGGTATTTCTGATTATATGAAGGTTGCATGTAAAATGAATATAAGTAATCAGTAAAAACATAAGCCATAACACTGACCTCTGACTTTCATTAACTTTTCTAATGTGTGTGTTCCTATAAGCATGTGTGGACAGCTAATTGGTTTAAGTTTTATTTCAAAAATAAAATTCTGAATTCTTTCAGCAGTGACTGCAGGTTGCTATGAACACTTATGTAAGTTTTGTTTCATCATCTTTAAGAAATAATTCCTTACCTCCATTTCTTGCTTTAACCAGTCTTCTAGCTCTGAATTCTTTTTCGCATGGTGAGCAATCAAATCTGATCCTCCAATAATGTATGGAAGTTGTCCTGCCCCTGGATAAGCTACCTGTTGGACAATAAATTCTTACAATTACAATACAAGGCAAGCACACAACAAGTAAAAGGTCTGTTGCAACAAATTCAGAAAGTGTATTCAGGTAGCACAGGAGTCAGTTGGTCAGCCAGTCTTCCTTTGAATAACATTTATCAGAAACATTTAGAAGAGCATGAAGTGAAAGAAAACCATTTACAGAAATCTATTAACTCCCTCCTTTTACCAAAAGAAACAAAAAAAAATAGCTGACAAGTTACATGTTACATAAGTCTGATAGTACATTAAATGGAGTTTCAAAACATTATAAACTGATTTTTACTGACAGATTCTATTTAATTATCAGAATGTATAAGCATTCTGTAAAAGATTTACAAAATGGTGGAAAAGAAATTTAAAATATTATCTAGAAGTGAGAGCATAATCCCAGAAAGTTGGAAGTTGCATTATGTGACTCACACTCTCTACATAGTATTTTATTTAAATGCATTTCTAGCAGTCTTATATTGTATATGATTTTTTAATTTTATTTTTAGTATGAGCTGAAGTGGTATTCTTACTACTGAACACTAAGAATCTTCTTGAAATTATCTTCGGGACCCAAACAAGACAAATTGTACACTTTTGGAGGCACCAGAAGTTATGGTAGGCATCACTTAATGACTTATTCCAAGTAACAGTTTGGAATAGAGAGTACAAGTATCTAAATAATCAAGCATGAGGTAAGACTTTGTCAGCCTGGTACTTCTTCAGTCAATTGGCAAAAATATCTGTCAATAGTATAATACGGTATTTGTTTCCTTCTGTAGTTACTATCAATTAAAAAAAATCTTTCATAACATATTTCTACAATCTTAAGACAATACTTTCTAATGTTTTTAAATAGTGCCATCTTGTGACCATTTCAACCACACACTAACCTTTTTGAACATTTTGAAATTTTTCTTTCCCCCGTAGCTGGTATTTCCAGTAAGCTGACTGTTCTGCCTTGGATGGCTGACAACCAATGATCTAAACTCAGTCAACAGAAGTCTGCTAGGAAGATTGCTGGAGTCATCTTGCAGTTTGTTGTGGTTCTTATGTGGGAAGAAAAAGGAAGGAGCAATTCAAGTGTATAAACAGACATAGAGCATATCAAAAAGTTTAAACTTTAGAGAAGCAAATTATCATGAGCACAGCTGAAGCAAAAGTTAGGATTACAAAGGGTGAGGGGAAGCAGCACCAGTGCTAGAAGCCAAGAAGATGGATTACTTCTCAGTGTCCTTATATACTAGCTATAGAGCTGGGAGCTCAGTAAATTTTTTTGTCTTATATTTGTATCTGTTGAAAAAACGAATCATTAAAAACTGCAGTAATATTAATGAAGTCAGTGTACCTCGTTTCACTAGGATATTACTTCAAGATAAAACTTCAAGTAAGATTTTTTTTTTTAAATTTAGCTAATAATCAAGAATTACTTCTCTTCACCTTTCCACCTTGCCTCTTCACCTGGACTAATTTAATCAAGTATTCTCAGTCTACTAGAACTCCAGCTAATTCCATGGAATACAAAGTTGAACATCTTCAGCAAAATTCTATCCTCCACATTTATCATTCAGGCCAACTTTAGGGCTGTAAGCTGGATGTGACCAATGAAGCAGCTTCTTGTACATGAGAATGATCATGTGCCAGCAAGTTTGCACGTACACCATTTCTGCCTGGGGCTAGATCTATGTGGATTAAAAAAAGATGTCTGGGTGCAGGACAAATTCACAAGTAATGTTAAACTATCTTCATGGACAGCTCCAGCCCAGATGCAGTACAGTTATTTTATAGCAAAGTCTGCTAACCTGAGCTGATCCTGCACTTTGGTACACTTGCACAGCATTCCCTCTTCTTGGACTGTTTTCTATACATATGTGAGAAGGTTTTATTCTTGCCCCTTGTTAACTGGCTACTCTATCTCTTCAGAATCATTCCACTTCTGTTTCATTTAGCCTAGTCTGCTTTTTCTCTGATCACTGCCATTCCCAGCAATTCTCCCCTCCTTCCATCACTCATCTCACTCATAAAAAAGTTAGCATTCTGTTTACAATCAGTGTATGTTACATCTATTTTCTCAATAGTCCATCTCTTCTATCCTAGTTGTGATCTCCTTAGAGCAGACAAGGCGATTACATTCTTGTCTGGTCTTTAAGCAATAACCTAACAAAAACACCAGTACAAGCATCAAACACACTGAAGTGTTAATACAATTACATCAGGTTTCTGTAGTTTCGGTCATCTTCAGTATCCATCCAAATGCCACTACAGTAGCATGCAGATGAACTACAGTTTGCTCTGTCTTTTCGCAGTCAATAAGTTGGATTGTACTATTCAAATTTACACGATTATTTTAAGGAGGACAATCTTCAGAACCTCCTTTACTCTGAATAGGATCCATATATACCACATTCTTAAAAGCAAAATTTTGATGCTTTTTCCTAATGCTTCTCATGCTGTTCAAGCTTACAATTAACAGGTTACTTACAGAGACTGGCAACTCTTGCTTGATGTCACTTTTCATTTCTGAAGTTAGAACTGATCCAAGTTCCTTTTCTTTCTATTTGATTAAAAATTATTTAAATTAAAAATGTAACACTGAAATTAACTGCAAATTTCATTACATAAGGTTGCGTTTTGTTTTGGTTTGTTTTTTTACAGTGGAATAAGCATTTTCAAATCAATATAAACAGATAGGAAAAGAAGCTGCACTGTACTTTCACATTTTTGTGATTTTTATGTACACTGTAACAAACATTGTTTTTTTTCCTATTAAAAAATCACTATTAGTTTCTCACTTTTTTTCTTATACCAGTAGCAAGTTTTGTCCATGTGTATAATCTTCAAAGTCCTGCCAGGCTCTGGAAAATACCATAAACCCTTTTGATATAAAAGGCAGCATTTTCAATTTCATATGTTAAGTGTACATGTGTGCAGAAAGGACATTTCATTACTAGGATTGGGAAGTATTCTGCAGGTTGCTTTCCTCTGATAGTTTAAAACGAGATTTCATAGAATCACAGGATAGCAGGTTAGAAGGGACCTCAGGGATCATCTGGACAAACATTCCTTAGCAAAAGCACAGTCTAGACAAGATGGCCCAGCACCCTGTCCAGCTGAATCTTAAAAGTGTCCAGTGTTGGGGAACCCACCACTTCCCTGGGGAGATTATTCCAGTGGCTGATTGTTCTCATTGTGAAAAACTTCCCTGGTGTCCAACCAGAATCTCCCCAGGAAAAACTCGTACCCATTATCCCTCTTCTTTTTCATGTGATTCCCTGTAAAAAGGGAGTCTCCACCTTCTTTGCAGCCACTCTTTAAACACTGGAACAGGGTGATAAGGTCTCCCCTAAGCCTTCTTTTCTCAAGGCTGAACAAACCCAGTTCTCCCAGCCTTTCCCCATATGCCAGGCTTCCCAGTCCTTTGATTGACTTTGTGGCCCTCCTCTGGACCCTCTCCAGCCTGTCCACATCTTTTTTGCACAGTGGGGACCAAAACTGAACCCAGTATTCCAGGTGTGGCCTGACAAGCACTGAGTAGAGTGGGGTAACGACTTCTTTGTCTCTGCTGGTGATGCCCTTGTTGATGCAAACCAGCATCCCATTGGCCTACTCTGTGCTGCTGCAGCACACTGCCTTTCATAAGTTATTTTCAGTGGTTGAAAAAAAAAAAATAAAAATCATCAGATCAACTTCATGCACCTTGTAGATTTTGAGTCAATTACATTCTCTGTCTTGCCAGATACACAAGGTGAATCTATACTTGAAGAAAACAGGTAACATAAATATGCCTGTGGAGCTTTATCATGAAATCTATTTTCTATTCCACTAGAAATATGATTTAGATTAATAAAATAGGTCATTATTAATTATGCTATTAGAAGACTTTTAGTCAGCAAAATCTTTAAGTGCACACCTGATAAAATAAGTTATACGTACAAATTTGTTTTCCTTCATGATCCTGACAAGAAGTTAGACTAGAAAAATTTCTCGGGCCATAATAAAATTCAAAAGACTATTCCAAGCAGCCATTTTAGTCTCTCAGTACAGTCAGATCTGTCAGAAAGTACCTCCTCTCTTTATACTATAAAGAAACTAAGATTCAGTACAAAATTTGTCATACAATTTGCCTGTTAGTTACACCAAAAAACCAGCATTCTAATAAAGTTCAAAATTCACACTTTGCCAGAAGCAAGCTCCAGTAAAGTATCAAGAAAAGAATGTTAAGCTGGTCTGAGCTAAGAATGCACAGACAATTACAATTATCAACTGACCCAAGCTATCTTGTAAATTCCAGTTACTCAATCATACATTCAAACTTTACTATTATAGCATTTAAACACTACCTGCACTATATAAGGACTGGAGAGTAAGCATTAATATATATATATTTTAATAAACAAAAATTAAACCCGTTCTTTCTCTCTTATTCCCCTCTGCATTGTTGATAGTGGACTTCGATAGAGCTCTCAACATTGTTTTCCTCTACAAACCTGCTTTTTTCCAATGAAGTGGCTACTGTTTAGTCACAATACATCATTCTTTTCTCTTACAAAACTGCCTTACTCTCTAAACCAAATACAGAGAAATAATCAAGAAAACTAATCACAAGCTGTGTTTTGGTTTTGTTTGTTTTGGTTGGGTTTTTGCTGGTTTTTTTTGGTTGTTTTTTTTTTTTCTCTTTTCTTTTTAAGAGGATGTTAGTGATTTGAATTGCCTTATACAGGAATTCCAATAATCTTTCACATGACATCTACAGATTCTGACTTGAAAGATGTTGGACACTACTGTGGTATTCAACATAAGAGGGCAACTAAATGTTTCTTCAGAAAATTCATTATGCAAAAATAATATAATTATTTAGTATAAATATCAACATTATAATTAACACAACAACATAAAACATGAGTTTTTCTTGGACCAGGGATATATTCTGCTGTTCTACCTACAGTACTTCAAGCAAAAAGAGAGGAAAACTTTTAGAATACCAGCAGCTTTTAGTTCATAAAGAAACAATGTCCTGAAAAATTTAAAAAAAAAAACCCGTTTAGATAGGTGTAACTGCAATGTTCACACATAATAAATATATCATGTCAATTTTTAGATGAGACCGATTTGAGAGGTTTAAGCAAACAAATTTTACAAAGCCACCTGTGTATGCAGGTAGCCTCATCCTTAAAGGAGCTACCTGCATCCTTCTAGCACAGTTGTAAATGTCGTTAGGCACGTGAGAAGAATATAACTTACCAGTATTTTATTCTCCTCTCTCTGTTTTCCATCTACTTCTTGAATCCAGCGTTTGTTGGCTTCCAAACACCTTTTTTTTCGTGCATTTCCTTGAGCCTCCTGGTCATGATCTGCCATTTGATCTTCCCAGTCTAGGTGTCTGCTTCCAAACACAATTTCTAGTGCTTCTGTATCTTCAGATAAATCATCGAACTCCTTTCTCTTCTTTGGTGCATGCTTTTCACTAGAAGTGGTTTTAGTGTCTGTTTTATCACTTGCTAATTTGCCAATTTCCCTCATAAGCTTTATACCTGTGTCTTTTAATGCAACATTTGGGTTTGAGTCCCGGATGTTATTTTCCCTTTGATGCTGTTCTACTTCACTGTTCCATACTGATGAAGCTGGGGGTTCAGTGAACTTTGAAACAGGCGATGACCTTTTCTCCAGTTTTGATAGTTTGGGTACAGATGTTTCTTCTTCTTCAGTTCTCTCCCTTAGCCAGAAAGTAAATATGAAAGAAATAAATTACAAGAGCGTTTTTGAGTATGACTAGCTGCATCTGCAACATAACAGCTTCCTGGGGTTTAAGTGACTGCATTGTGAGATTTGAATGTAAGTAGCCTTGAGGAAAAGCCTGCCATTCTAGGAAGCTGATCTAAAAATTATCTTTTTAAGTATGTTTGAGTTAAATGTACATCCTTTGAGTTCAAATTATTTTCCAGAAACAGCACCCACATAACAATAAGGGAAGTAATGTCAACAAAAATTTCAACATACCTTTTTCTAGCTACCTGGAAGTAATTTGTAATTGAGTTAGACTGGTAACGTGAAGCACACTCACTAGGTTTACCAGCTTCTGAAATTTTAGATGGTGAGACAGGATGACTTTTTTGACTAAACGCAGATGTTCTATTCACTCTAGGTATCGATGTTCCTGCATTTACAGTGTCACTTGTGCTTGGGTTTTTCTTTATGGAGGTTGTATCCTGGAAAGCCATTTTCCCTTGTCTATCCATCTGGGGAGTATTCTCTATCTCCATACTACATTAAAGAGAAAAAATGTTAAATAGTCACATAAGAAGTTATCACAGACATACACTGTAGGATACCACTTTTTTAAAAAGTTGTATCTGTACTTTGAAAATACTTATAGGTATTACACACTTGTAGGTGTGCTAAAAACAAACTGTAAAATCCACTATGATAAAACTATTTTTATAGTGGTGAAATGGCTTGAAAATTTGTAACAGTTAAGGTGGTCAAATCAGATATGCAGTATCTATATTTGTATCTGAAAGAGTCATATAAGTTCTATGGGATGTTTTCTGTTATCTACCACTCAAAAGCAGAAATTATCACTGCAGGCAAGTGACAGCAATTTACTAAGTGTCATTTCTAACACAGTATATCTTTGTTCACAGCAATGATACAGTTCAAAAGATTGCTTTACTTGCAAGTATTATCTTAGAAACTATTTCCATGAATACTTTACCATGTCTGCTCTTCTATTTCTGTATCAGCTACATATACTGTGCTGTTGTCTGCGGCAGCTGGCATTATGGTTTCATCCACAGCCAAACTCTGAGAAATGGCTGGCCCTACAACAGCTGATGCAGGAGTACTTTTAGTTACAGCTGCAAGATCAACACAAGAGAAGAATTAAAAGGTCAATATCAAATCTGTGTTTCCTTGCATGTGTTATCACACATTGGTAGCTGATCAGATGAGATTTTTGTAAAAATGTATTAAACCACTTTTAATCAAAAAATTAAGCAGATTTATTAAGTAAAAAAACCTGAAAGAAACCATTCTAAAAGAACCATATTCTGGGATTCAGTTTTTGTTAAATATTCCACTAAATTAAGTCATGGAATTTTTCTCAAATAAAAATGAAGCATAATGGGAAATCACATATTAATATGGACATGATATAATAAATAAATCATGCAATATATATTTTATGCAAAACCGTCAAGAGCACAAAATTCCTTACATTTACTGCTTTATGATGATCTCTAACACGTTTATTAATTTGAGGATTATTTCTACTAATACAGAACCAATATTTGCTACCAAAAAACCTTAAAATAAATGTCTTCTATGGCAAATTTTTCATTAAGGATTGCCTTAAAACGTCATTTGCTGCTCTCTAGTTGCTCTCATTATTTCTCTGTAGGACAGAAAGAGGAGCATATACAACATCTTTTACACTGTCTGCCCTTTCAACTTGTCCTTGTCTTCATATACTTAAGTCTTCTCCAAGTCAAAGGATACTAACATTTACTATTTTAACATGTCTCATCATACTTCTAGATACATTTTTTTTAATTACTACTCATATCTCAGCCTTTTACATTCTGATTGAAACTGTATTGACAGTATTATCCTTTCACATAACCTATTCTTTATACATTTGATTTTTCCTACCACTGTAACCTACAGAGGAAAAACTTATAGACACACCTAGGTCTCCTCCTTGAGCAACTATATCTTATATATGTTTCTATTTGTTGTTCTGAGACAAGATCAGAGAAAGAAGTCTTCTTTACAATCCCTTTGATTTGCAACACATACATAGACGTTTTCTTATAACTCCCAAACCGTAGGTTTTGTTCTCTCATAGCAAATAAACTGCTAGCATAGCTACCTTTAAAAGCCTGATACACAGTCCATTTACACAATTCAATCAGAAAATTTTTATCCAATTGAATCATTCAGACTGGAAACGAGGATCAGCAGTTATGATTTATTCATATGTCTGCAGGGTCAGTACCTTTAAATTTAATCTGAGAATTTATTTTGTATTGTTTTCTACACTTGATAGACAACAGATCATATACAAGTTATTTATACATGAATACTAGTCCATCAAAACATTTTTCAGACCTCTGCCAGTACTGCACATATATCCTTCTCTCTTCAAAATGCATTTTTGAGTAAGTAATGTTCCTATATGTAAAGACAGATTTATGGGGGTTTTGTTTGATTTTTTTAAAAAAATGTAGGATTTTCTACCCAATACAACATTTTCTAGAACAGAATAGAACCTAAAATTTTACACGTAACTCTCACAATTTTACAGAAACAAAAATATATACTAACAATTCTGGAAGAGGCATGAAAAAAGAAATAGACAAACAAAAACTCTTTCTGTCTCTCTAAGATTTTTATTACTACTTTTATTAGCAAATTCAAGTTAAGTTCCATGTTGAGACTTGAGGTGTTCACCCTCAAACTGTTACTTCAGGAAATGTGGCCATCATGTCTCACTATTTTTACTTCTTATATCAAGATTATATTTGGTTTTGAACTGGGTGGAGGGGGTTGAATTTTCCTGAAGCAAATTCCTTTTTGTGCAAAAAAAGAAAGCCTTTACAAATTAATTTCTTTCTTATCCTCTCAATAACTAATATTTGTCTTTTACCTCCTTTTTACTCCATCTTTTCATAAAAGATAGAATAGCATGGAATTCAAACTACCACATACATATTAATTCCATGGCCACTAAAAATGTGAACTTCAGAAGACTTTTAAAATATATTTCCTCTAAAGATCAATGTACTATATGTCTGCTTTTTACACTAATTTTAGATTGGCTACTTCTTTATTTACATCTAAGAGTCTTATGATTTTCATTGCAGTTTATCATGACCATTAAAAAACAATTACCTCTTCAGACTTGTATACATTTTTCATACAGAACTATTCTATTTTAGTGATCTTGCAAAACAAAACAAAAGAAGATTAGTAGTTGATGCCCCTGTACAAAACGAAATACTGACTCTTTAATGCTGTTAACTTACTACTACCCTTCTTCCGATTACCTTTGTTACCAAGCTGCTTTTGAGGGTTGCAGTATTTTTCCGTAGACATGAAGATAACTGCCAATCCAATTTCTGCCTCAGGAATAGCCCTGAGATCCTTGCTATTAATATACAAATAAAATAAAAACAAACAAAAAAAAGTTCATCAATACAGATTAAAAGATGAATAGACAAATGGACACAGATACGACAAAGTACAAAACATTTCATTCCTTCCTTCAAAAAGCATCAGTCTACACTACAATTTTTCACAATACAGTAAATCAGCATCATTATACCTATGTCCTACATGTACAAACCCACTTTTCCTGCTGCTGTAGCCACTGTCTAGTCCCAGTAATCTGGACAACGCATCTCTCCCTCTCTGATTTCTGGGAATTTAACCAACTGTGCTCTATCTGATTCAAAAATGTGTGTGAATGGAAAGTGACTTGAAAGATTTAAGCACTTCTTGCAAGTCACTTAGACTCAGACTCATCCCTCCCCCTTCTTCTGTACTACAGCCATGAAAAGATCTTGAGTACAGTTTTCTCTATTTAGCAGGAAAATTCAGGGAAACTAGGGTTATGTATTAGGTTAATGATTGGGATTTTGTTTTCTTGCATTGTTTTAATAAAATGGCATAATGAAAATCCTAACATCTATAAAATATGCAGTCTGGTCTCTCAAACAAAACCTACCACTGAAACAAAAATTAATTTTCATTAAACAGAAGCTGCTCTTCAGAAACATTGTATGCAAATTAGACAGCAGTGAACCACATGACCTTAAGGCGCCATCTCATCTGTTTTTCATTAAATAAATATGTATATTTATTGAAAAATCATAAATTCTTTTTTCCGTTCTTAGAATATATTAAACAGCAGAGGAAAACACACGTCCTGTCTGTAACTTCAAAGCAGCTTCATTACAATGAATTTCTGTAGAATTGGATCCTCCAAAAAAGAAAACACAAACTAAAACCCCCCATCAAATCGTCACAGAACTGCAAAGTCCTTTCTTTCCTGCTTCAAGAAATGTGAGTTACTATGCTAAATACTTAAAGCAATGAAGAAAATACCCTCTTTATAAGCATCCTACTGCTTAAATACATATGCAAACACCATGACTAAACCTCTGCAGAAATTGTGAAATTACCCTACCACTGTACAAGAGAACAGTGATGCACCTTTGCAAGACAGTCAAAATGGAATCAGTCCAGTTTCTCATGGAGTCAGATCCTGGGATCTGAGAGTTTGTCAACCCCACATCAACAACACAAACTTCAGGAGAAACTAGTAAAGATGTTTCTTTTCTTCCTTCTGTCAGCAATTTTGCTTCCCCTCCTCCAAGAATAACTGCTGGACCCAGTTTCTTGTGCTAAAAAGAGAATGCAAGTTAAAAAAAAAAAAAATCTTAAAATACAGTCAGTTTAGAAGTATCAGCATAATGAACTATCAGCATAGTGCTTATGAGTGCTGCACTAATGCAGATGTGATGTGTTCTGTTTCTCACCCTATATTTCATCTTGCTTAGGCCGTTATATTGTAAGAAGATAAATACACAGAAATCCTTCTTTCCTGATGAACCCACAATGAGTGCAAATTCACAAGAATGGAATCCGCCCTTAGCTACCCCTGTAACATTTTTGCAGTGTAAAGCATGATTACCTGCTTGGCAGTTAGAAATACAAAAGTTTTTCCACTGAATATTTTTTTCCTTTCATGACGCTCAGACAAATCCAGTTTTTCAGTGCCAATGGAAGGCTCATCAACTGGAGGATAAAAGCTGCAAGAACACAAAATTAAAGTTAGAAAATTTAGATTTCCCTATCAGCACCCACTCATAGTCCTTTCTGGTTTAGAGTAAAGCTTTGAAGCTAAAATACTGCATTTCTCTGTTAAAACTATTTATATAAGTATTTTTTCAAGAGATTGTTAAGAAGAAACAGTCTCTAATTTCTCAACATTTACGTCAAGACCAAGACTTTCTACTTCAGTAACGAAGAGGACAACACTTTTAGGAATGTATTCAATCTAATCACTTTAACCATCTGCTGTACACATATCCATATTCTCCACTAATAGTTAAAAACAAGACTGCAATCTCATTCTGTACTTACTCTAGCTAATAGTAAAACTCCACATAAAATTAGTCATCTTGCTTCCTCTACCCCTCAGGTGGGGAGAGCCACCCCTCCTCTTCTATTTGATCAAGACATTGTGTATCATCACACTACATGACAGCCTACTAACATGACAGAAAATAAGTATACTTTTCTTGCTGGTGGGATAGAGAACTGATTAACCCTGCAGATTCTCAATTGTTTTGTCCAATACAAGAAGAGTGACCAGGAGTTCATTTGAGGAACATGGATATGCTTTTAATTTTTTTTTTTTAATTTATGCAAAGATTAGCAGATTCTAAGCAAGAAACATACTCTGTGAAATGCTGAAATTTAAGTTTCTGAAAAAAATGCACCATCTATAAAACATGAACATTCTTCAGACACTGTGAACGTTCACATACAGTGGAACACAAGAATAAGCACGTAAATTTTCTACTGCATCCAAATATGTAATTCAATTATGACAGGCTAAAATATACTACATAATTACAGTTAATTTTAAATCATCTTTCTTTTCTTGTGTTCTTCACTGTCAATTCCTAAAGCTTCATGTACACAATCGAAATTAAGCAGTCTGAAACCATCAGGTTTTGAAAACTGAGTATTTGATGTTTCAGCAACCTTTTCAAGTCTGTTTGCAAAAATATTGTTGCATTGAAATAGATACAATAGAATCTACTATTTGTAAGGCATAAGGCAACTCAGATACTGAGTCCTGTAAAGACAGTTATTAACCTAAGATAAATACAGGGTACAAACTCATCTTGAAAGACCAAAGGATAAGTAAAAAGGGAGAAACAGCAATTCCTATTACTTTGGAACTGGACTATAGTTTCTCTATAAAGACATTTCAAACCTCTGTTTTTTTAATTTCAGCCAGGAACTCTAACTGATCATCTCCTCCTCAAAGAAACCTTTGATTTTCCTTTGAAACTCTTATCCAAGCTGATCTAAGCTCAAAAGGCAAATTAGTTTTTTCCATCTTAGGATTCTGAAGTGCTCCTTGTACTCTCTCCCCATAAGCTTTGAACAGTAACACCATTATCCAGAATAGACCCTCTACAGTCTTGAATCTTTCAATACATAGATTTTGATTCTTGATGAGTTTCTGTTGAAGACAGTTACTTTCCTACTTCTTCAAAGCCCTGCACTATTTACACTGGACTGCTGTAATAAAAAATGTTAGTGAAATCTTCAGTTACTGTTCTTCCTGAATAGTTTATCAGAGAGTACCAGAGGTGATATACTTCACCATAAAAAGTCTCAAGTAAGAAGCCTCACATTCATATGCAAACTGCAGGTTTGCAATTCTGTGAAATCTTGGGATAAACAAAAAGAAGTTTAAAATTTTTTTAACTTTAAGGCTGCATTTCCCTAAGACTATTTTGGGATCAGTTCTACAGTAGTAATCAAGATTTAATTAATAGTGTTGCCCTGTGTTACCACATCAATACACTTTTCTTATATCCAAACTAGTATTGCCTCAAGTTGTTTAGTGTCTTGCAGATGTACCAGCTCGGGTCAGCTCTAGCTACAATGCACAATGTAGAAATTCCCTGTGAAAATTAAAAGTATTTTCTGAAATTGAATGCAAACAGCTGCTAAGTAAATTTCCAAGATCTTCCCACAAGCTATATCTTAAAAAAATCACCTATTTAAAATACTGTTACTATTTTAAATAAAGATCTGCATATTTCACTGGCTGTCTTATTTGGCTTGATACACAACTCTCTCTTTGAAAGCTACGTAATGGATATACTGCTAGTGTCACTAACATTTAGTAAGCTCAATTCCTCTGAGGGTCTTAATAGTTAGCAAAAATATTTAAGAAAGGGAAGCATCCATCTGGTTCTATTTTATGGAGCACTTTACAGCCAAATTATACTGTTACTCCTATATTAAAAGAAATGGACAATAAGCATCCTGGTTTCAAGAGCCCAAGCCACTGTTTGTTACTGTAACAGACAGTAACAGCAGTCTGACAGCTGGATAACATTAAATCGAGCAAATTTCAGATTGCACAACCAATTGCTAGCTTTTTATGGCTTGTGCTATCTGTACTAAAAAAAAACCCAACAAAACCCTTACATCCAATATTTCAGCAAGCACTCCAAACAGCTTGTTTACTCATGTCTTTATAAAAGAACATAGAAGGAAAAGTTACAATTCATGAAGATTCCCCCTTTCTTCTGAAAATGAAGACCAGATGAGCTTTAAACCACTCACAGATCACTGATTTGTCATATTACATAAACCCATGCAAATGTAAAACAGCATCTAGAAACTAAAGAGTATTTGCTACCAATTGCTCCAGATTGGCACTTGTATTCTTCTAGCAAGGTACTGTCACATTCTGTGAAATACATTATCACCACCTAGCAAGTGCAGCTTATTGTGAATCCTCTGCAGCTTTGCTTCCATCACCATGTGTACACCACTGAGGGTTGTTTAGTTGCCCTTTCCCCCCCACCCTGTTCTTCAAACTATTCTATCAGTGACCCACTAAAGAAAATAAATTGCTATGTCCTAACACATATGTGTGTGTGTGTATATCCATATGTATGTAAAACCAACAGAGAGTTCTATTCTTCTTCATCGCTTATCTCCCCCAACTCAAGTGTCTGGTGTCCAGCATCCACTTGGTTAAAATACATCCAGAAAAATCATCGTGTCTTGAATGCATTTAAAGTAATTTCACAATTTTTTCTCCCTGTTAACTAGCATTAAGAGTTCAACATGTTATTTTTCAAATGCCATGTACTCTTAGAATTTCTATTCATTGTGTATTACATTTCACAGTATCTTCCAAAGCATGCAAAGAATAGAAATGATTAAAAAAAAAACCAGGTACACATGCAGTTTACCTTCTAAAAACACACATTTGACATTTCTCACCTGAATAAATCATGTGTTTGTACAAAAAAAACCCCAAACAAACCAAACGAAACACAACTGTTTCCCTTTTCAAGGTAAAAATAGGAGCAATACAGGTTCAGATGAAATTGTTGCATACAACAATGGGATTATTTTACACTTTTCTACACAGAGTAAATAACCAAATAGCCTATTCTGCAGTACATATTTATTCCAAAGTAAGAATTCCCTTTTCAAGTTAATTTAACCATGAAAACAACAAGTATTTTGTTTTCATATAGTGAAGACCAATGCACATTAGTTTCCCTGATACTTCAGGGAATTCAATAGTCAGGCTAACTCTGTTTTGACCAAAATTTACAGTAAACTCAGTAACTAGCTGCATGGTGGGAAAATATGTCTACATAATGAATAAGCTTGATATAATTTATTTTATAAAAAGATGATTTTAATGTATCAACACCCAGAAGAGTTTAAATGTTCCTTCAAACATACCAACAAAAAAAGTTCCTATTTAGAGCTAGTAACATCACTGAGCATACAATCAATTCCAAGAGCTCGTTTTATAACTCTAGTGATGACAGGAAGAAAATTCCCTGAATATTAAGATGTGAGTCATATTAATCATTCTTCCACAAATAAAGTTACCATGAATCACATATTTTGTCAAACATGATCAGATAAATGTGTAGTTATTTGATAATCTAACCCCCAAAACTTTAATTGTGACACTGAAAACACAATACTTGCCTTTCATGATTTGGCAACTGTTGCCTGGACTGAATAGCTTTGATTAATTCAACAAAAAACTCTGGTTTTATAATTGGTCGACCACAAATCAAAGCACATATAGTCTGAAAAGACAGAAAATATATATTTAATGTATAGAAAAAGTTCAGCTAGAATATGGTTCAACTGACATTAGCATTTTAAAATCTTAGATGTGGAAAATGTCACCCAAAAAAATAGAACAACACTCAACTTTGCTACCAAAAAGCCGGATAGTTTCGCTTCTAAAAGCCTAACTTTTAATTGCTCTCTTTACCAAAGTTATGAAAATTTACAAGGCAACTGATGGAAATCAGTAACCGTCTTCAAAATTGACTTTTCTTTCCCTCCAACCTCCCATCAACATACACCTCTTTCTAAACTTGGAAAAGGCAGAGTTGACTTCATAGCTTTGTAGAGGAAAATCTTGAGCAGGTCTAGAATTTAATTAATATTTGTGGGAAAACTGCAAAGCAATGCCATCAATGTGCAAAAGCCCAACATACCTTAACAGTAACTTTTACTGATACCATTACAAGGTGAGTACACTCTTTTGTCCATTCATTCACTACAAGGCCTCCAAGCTGCTGGATGGCTTGATTTAAAGCAGTTTTCTGAGCTACATCTAAACATGATGAGCAGACGACCAAAGGTTCATACTCTACTCTGCAAAGAATGAGTAAAATAGAATTGTTTTAGTTTTTTCAGTCAATCATTACAATGAACAGAGCTGACATGATGTTTGTGTCTCAGGGAAATCTGAACTGAACAAAAAAGAAAAAAACACCCATACTTTTACCTAGATCAAAGACTGTGCTTTAAAATTTCCCAAAGAAAGTAAATACTGATTTTTATTTAAAAAAAACAAAAAACAACCCACCAACATTTTGACTCGACGTCTGAAATATTTCTAAGGACTTTTGGGTCTTTCACAGACATCACACAGAATTAGTGCTTAAAGCATACTGCAAACTCAGGGAATCTAAGAAGAAATTGAGTGTGTGCTTCCAAAGGCAAAAGTATGCTCAACAGAACTGTCCATGAGCAGATTAGTATTTAAAAAATAAGTATCTAAGAAGCAAGTTCAAGTAAATTTTTCCTAACACTACCATTACCCTTGACCATAAGCCTATTTACATTTGTGGATCTTCCATATGGAATTACAGCATATCAAATTCTATGATTTGATTTTGTTTAATCTACAAAGCAGAAATAAACTTAAATAAGCTTTCTGGTACAAGTCATGATGTATCTCATCTTACAGCAAGATTCCTATACCATATTTTGGGTATGTTTATCTAAAATATCAAAAATCATTTATTGTAGTAAGTGAAGAAGAGTGCTTTTTTTTTCCTGTCAAATAATACCAGCAGCAGTAACAAAACCAAGTCAAATTTTAAGGAACAACGCCATCTTCTCCTGCTTTAATGCTGATTTTAATGGTCATTAGAATTTGTTCTATTTATCTGTCACTTCAAGGAGTGCTTGGTATATTCAAACAAATAGCACTGGCTACGATGTTAAAGCTGAAAAATCAACAAGTTGGGTTCACTAAAGAGAATGCAGTCATCCATCACAGCAACAAGCATTCAGTGGCTAGTGCTTCACAAAGTACCCTCCAGCTATGACAATTCTTTTCTCATTACATTATTAACAGCTAACAAGAGCTCAGACAAGCTCTCTCCTACCCTAAACTCTTCCTTCTTTAAAACACGTACGTTTTAGAATTTTGTTCACTGCCTAAGATAGCCTGAAAACACTCGCCATATGTGATACATTTTCTAAAATGCCAACACTTCACTATGAACAATTTTAATCTCTTAGTGTCAAAATAAATTATATAATAAAAACATGTAATGGAAGACTATGGCAGAAGCAGGTATGGAACACAGGCAAAATACTACTCATCTCCTTTGCTTTCTAAAAATTCATCATTGATGTATCGCTGAGTTTTATGATCTGCTAAAATACTCTATCCAAAAATTGCAATGTTCTACTTGGTATTTTATAATTAAAGCACTTACCTAAACTTGCTCTCAAAGACTCCGAAGTTGATTCTGTCGCCAGACTGCAAAGACACTGAAGTGCCATTGAGTTTTGATCCATTAACAAAGGTACCATACTTAGATGTATCTGTTACTGTTAATATAGGGATGGAGAGAGACTGGCTCTGAAAATAAACATAAATAAGCCATTATAATTTATCTGAATGAAACAGCTTTATCAGAAACAGGTTACTATCATTATGGATCAAAGCAGTAGATAAATAAGAAAAAGGCCACAAAATACCATACTAAAGACAGACTTTGGACAATGAGGCTGGCTATGTGCAATTATTCATCTTCTGGTTTTCACTGTGAAGGAATGAGAGAAAACATACATACTTGTAGCAACAGAACTTTTGTCTTTCTTCTACTCAGTCTTTTGGAAGCTGTGCAAGGCAATCACTCACTAGCCCAAAGCCTCTGATAGTGCAGTTCAGCAAGGCTCCGAGAGTTATTATTGATGCTTTTACCTACCACTGAGCTCTGGCATAGGTGCCCAAGCCACTTTCCCTCACTTCCTTCCACAAGCTGCAGGGCATGGTGACATCAGTATGTCTTGAGAAGAGGTCAGACACATATTTCCCAAATGGTTCACAAGCCGATGAGAACAGTCAGCCTGTTTTTATGAAATTTTGCTACACAGTTACACACTATTTGCAGACTTAAAAGGACAAAAAAAATCCCTCACATATTTAATTTCAAATTCTATATACAGTTACATAAATGAAATTCCCACTGACTGGCTTCAAAATGTAAACATTGAAACACATAAGCGACAGTAAATTGCCACTTACTAGTTCTCCTTGGGACATTTTTAGCTTCATTCCCCTAAGCAAACAGAATTAATGACGTGGAATGAAACACCAAGCCTGCAGAGAGACCACTTTCCAGAACCAAGACTTAAAACTTGCCTATGTAATGAAATTTAATTGCATAATTTTGTTATGGTTATTTTAATAAAAATTCCTAGTGAATCTTCACTCTTGGATAAACGGGAGCTTGGATCATTAGAATTACACCACTAAATTTCTCAACACATGAAAACAACCCTGAATTAAAAAAAAAGTCAAGATTAAGACAAGACAGGTGGTCAATGGTTCTACTCCAAGCATAAAACACCAGTGAGAGTTAAACAAGATTATGTTATGGTAATGGCAGACTGAATTATCCACACAGTGTACTGATAATGTGGTAAAATGCTGGCTACTTACAGGGGTTGTTTCAGGACGACTTACTGTCAGAACTGCATGACTTCGACTGATGGACTGATCATCCTGAATTAAAATTGCACAGTTTTTGCGTCCAACAACATATTCTGTACCACTTAAAAGCCGGTATGTCTCTCCTGGAAAAAAACAAAAAACCAAAACTACAGGAAAATACCAATTTACAAAAAAAAATGCCAAATACCCAAAGCACTTAGGAAACATTCAGAAGTTTGTAGTATATCTGAAACTCAACTTTGTCATGCATCATTTATTAGGCTGATTAGAATTATGTATTTAGTTTATAGACAAAACCTTTCTTCCCCTCCCTCACCTTGTCCACTATAAAAGGATACACTTTATGATAAAGCAGTTACAAAAGTGGCAGCACACTTTTTTCAAGAACAGTATATTTTTACTAAATCTTTGTTTCTCAACTTTTCTCTTGTATTATTTCTTGAAGACTGTGTCATGTATAGAAAAAAACCCGAAGATTAAGATATAAGATAGCTTCTGCAAAACTCAAGTTTTAACGGTAATTTTTTGAGGATACGTAATTTATTTGCATAACTTAAGAGGTTTAGAGGAAAATGTCATCTAAATGAATGTAAGATCATCTGCAATGTAAATTAAACATGCTTAATGAGTTCAGCCTCTGACCTATGCTTTAGTTCATTCTTGGTATCAGTCATCTACACCACATGGTGCTTTTCAGTGAATGGCTTGACTACATCCAAAAGGTGTGTGCTACCCACTGGGCAACAGAATCAGAAATGTTTCTTGACAAAAACGAATAACTATAGATTAAATTCTACTTATCAACCGTGGACAAACAACCTTTCAGATATGAACTGTGCAAAAATTAACATCCTGAATACAATGGTGATATCAGAGTTTTGGGTCTTGCTCAAGCGTTTTCCAGGCAGTAAAGAGCTAATTTCAAAAGGCTTGGGTACTGTTACCACTCAGAGATAAACATCCAAAATTCACTCTCAAACAATCAGGAAATAAAGAGCTGATACACTTGTTATAGGACTGCTCATTATACAGAGAAAAAACACTTAAGTCAAGAAGAAATTTGTGTACGATATCCATTATCAATGTATCAAAGCTCCTACGGATAAGGAAACTGATGAATAAAGGTACAGTGGCAATTCAGTTTCAAAACTCTGCATCCAAGAAACAACGTTTAAGTTCAACACTTGGTCATCGAAACATCAACATAATATTTTCTGAAAGGAGAAACTCCCGAGATTGTCTTCTGCCTCAGAGCTCAACTACTCAGGTATTCTGAAGCAGCACTCTGCTACCTGCTTCACTGGCTGCAGCAGCACCTGCAGACACCCCACATGCGTCCGCAAAGCGAAAAGCTTTATTACATTTAACATGAGCTGTGGCCTGCAGTGCTCAACGGGAAAACGAAGGCTCAGCCGTGGACGAGCGCCCAGATAACGGGGACTTCTGCCAGCACTGGTCCACACCGCGGCCCTGCCCGAGGCGCACGGACAAGACAGCCCTACTGGAGACCCCCGTGGAAGCCGAAACGCCGGCTCCCGGCGCGGTACCGCTCGGCACACGAAGGGGAGGGCCGGGCCGGCAGGCTCTGGCCTCCCCCGCCCTGCAGGTGTGTGCATGTCTCTAGCTCCTCTTGTTTATTCCCCATGCTATGTGTATTTGCATAGAGACAGTTAAGTTGGGCCCCTGTTGAAGCTGATGCTCTGGCTAGAATAATTTTGTGCTGCTCTTCAGGTGCCCTGGCTGACCTGTGATGCCTCTTCAGGCTCTGGGCATCTATTGCTGGCCCTGGCATCAAGCTGGTTGGAGTGGAATGAAGTGCCCTTCCCCTGGCACCTGTAGTTTAAAGCCCTCTTCACCAGCTTGGCAAGCCTGTGACCAAAGATGCTCTTCCTCTTCTCTGACACATGGACCCCATCAGCCCCCAGTAGATGAAGTTTCTCAAAGTGGGTCCCATGTTTTAAGTAGCCAAACCCCTGGCTGCAGCACTTCCATAACCAACTGTGGATTTGACAGATTCAATGGGTCTATGCAAACCCCTTCCCTTTGACTGGGAGGATTGATGAAAAAACTTCCTGTACCCCAGAGTCCCTTACTGCTGCTTCCAGGGCTCTTAAGTCCTTCTTGATACTCTTCAGACTTCTCCTGGCTGTATTGTTGGTGCGATGTGAAACAACAGCAGTGGATAACAGTCTGTAGACTGTACTGTATTATGTGTATTACCTTGGTATTTTTCCATTACCTAGATCTCCCAACCTATGTATTACTAACAATTATAATTATAATCAAACTGGTTTTAGCGCAAGAAGAAATTACCTGACAACACTAAAAATGAGAATGCTCTGTGAGCTATAAAACTTGGGAACTGCTCTTCAGGGTATGAATATTTCCATAAAAGAGCGATTACATTGATGAAAGCTGACCAGTAAAATAGCCTGAATAATTTGTGTATGTGTGGGGAAGGAAGTTCAGAGATAGCTCACTGGAACAGGAATGGACATTATTATAGGAAGCAATTACAAAATGGTCATATTTTTTTAAAGAGTTTGATGCTGAGCTACAGATTATTGCTGTTATAAAGAATGGCCTTGGAATCCAAGGCTGAGCTTTTAAAAAGTATTTGCTGTAACAAAAAAACCAACAAAAAGACTGGTGAACAAGACATAGCATAGTATGATACCCTTTCTCAT